CACAAAGTCCCGATAATAATTTATTCATGTTGGAAACCTCATTGCAGGTTTTAGCTCCGGCAACAGAGTAAATATATTGAAAGACAAACACCATCTCATACGCTCGCGTCTGACATTTACATCACTTCGTGGATAGCTGATAGGCGTTTTGAGGGAGATTACATAAATTTGTAATCCTTATATTCTCTATGAGAGGGATGGCTATTTCCCAGAAGCGAATTGGCGAATAGACAATGTAATGAGCAAAGCTTCCATTGAAGCGCATGTATTACGATTGCCACGAAGTACAGCTCATCACGTCATGGCTAAGTGGACTTTGCCCCCAGACAGGATTGAACTACCGACCTTCCGCTTACTAAGCGGGTGCTCAACCACTGAGCTATAGGGGCGATAATAACACTCAAAGACACATGAAACAAACAGGCAAATCACGCTTTCCCTTCATGGTCCATGTAGTTTTAGCCCGAGTCAGAAAGTCCCGATAATAATTTATACATAATGCTCCAGGATGCGGAGAAAACCTTTGTTCGGTTTTATGAAGCACTTCCACTCGATATTATGACTTCCTCGATCAAGAGACATCTTAAAGTTGAGTCCAGCGAACCGACGAAACAGTCGTTAGCCTGAAATGTTAATGTGGTGTCTTCGTTAAACTATCTCGATCGCGTGATCGTCGCTTTGTGCTTGCGCAAGGTATAATTAAATGATAAATGGGTTACGCTGTCTGCTGTCGATATCGAGCAGCAACCAGTTGCGCTTCATACAAGCATCCTTCATAGTCGGAGCATAGGTTGTAAACACAGACGGTAACAGACTCAACTATCAATCACACGACAATAAGGCACCAAAAACAGACAGCCGGGGATGTTGAATCACCGTATTCAAGCCAGTACCTTCTAAGCAGAGACCAGATCTCACAGAGAGCATGTCTTTTTAAAGGTTGCGTAAAGGGGAACCTATAAGTTCGAGAGTTTGTTCTGTCAGCAAAATTGGCTTCTTGACCACACAGCCATAAATTATATGTAAAGCATTTACTCGATGACTATTCTTCTTGATGCCGTTCGTGTTCACTGTGTGAACGCTGATGTTGCTGTTTTATGTGGTGGTCGGCAGGGAGCTTTGCATAGGCTTGTCAAGAGTCAACTTCTACCATCGTCACGAATACTTTGTCGGCAACTCGAATCTAAGCCCAACTTGATGTCCAGATAGAGACTGTAAGCTTCTGTAGCAACTCGAAGTCGTACAATGCCACTGTGCTCCACTCCACTGCGGTATGCAGAACAAATTAAGGTCCGATCACAGGAGCCAAAGTAGCAGGTTTTCAACGAGAATTCGCATGTAGTGCGCCGAAATCCACTCGACCGGTTGCCCCGTGGGGTAATGAAAGCAGTGATAATTCATGGAGGGCGTCCGCGATATAAGAGAAAGTTTAAATATGCATAGGGCTTTATAATCATAAACACCTTAGTGGTAGAGTCCAATTAGATTCGCCACGTTACACGCATCATGAGAATTACACTGTGGTGTAATCTTGCCGTTAAAGTCATAGAAAGTAAAGATCGAGAGTGCGCCGTCAGACTTGGCTGTCACCTTCTCGAGCTGGATTAGTGCAAAATTCTGACCATGCTGAGCTCTGTGCTGAAGCTCAATATTTATGCTTTTGTTTCCTCTCAGGGAGGTTTTCTTGGACATCGTCGTTGCGCATTGTACGTAATGCGCTTAGCGACTTTTGCGTTTACCTATTTGCTTGTATCCTGTGTGATGTCAACCGCTGATATTGAAGGCCAGCACAGTATTACCAATAATCTGTCGTGGAAGCGACGGCAAACATCAAACGTCGACTCATCACATGTGACGTCGCGAGTAAATGCAACTTGCCCTGCCTCCATGTCAAAGACTCGGTACGCCTTTGACTCTTCTTACTGGCCTTTACTTAAGTCGTTGCGCTCGACATCAAAGAATCCGCACTTAGCTGAAACCCGATAATTATCTCAAACGAAGTTCCATGCCGACCAAACTTGACCAATGTGCCAAACTGCGTCTGTATTGCCATGATGTATTTCTTGATACATACTCCACTTTATGACCTGGCTCATATACCTTTCATACATCCGAGATCGGCATGAGATACTTGCTATCACCCAGCGAGTCAAGTTCCATGAGACCACAAGAGTCAATATCGAGTAGCTCCAACGGGTCGTAATGGCGCTTATCTTGATTGGCTGGATTTTGTTTCGAGGGATCTTGCCCTTCTAAAGCCGCCACGACACACGTGATTTGTTGGACTTTGTACGCTATCTTGCATCCTTAAGCACGCCTCTCTTCATCATGCTTGTTCATCATAGTGAGCTGGACTATGTCGTACCACATGTGATGAGTCGCACTGCTGCCGATTACCTAAATTCCAACGCCCTTGGTTGTCAAAAGCTCACTATCGAGCAAAACAGCATACGCTACTCGATCATTGTCGTTGCCGTTATCGTACGTTTCCCTTTCGCGCCCACGAGCTCTCCCGCCGCGTCGCCTTCCTACGTTGTCTCCCATCCGCTTGGTCCAGCACCGCTCAACCGTATGTCCAAATTTCCCGCAGATGGTAACTCGCGCTTGGCTCTGAAAGCCGTTCTTGCTACTTCAGTCTTCAACGACGCCATCCTCTCGCTTTGCCTCTTTATATTTTCATTCGTTAATTTCTACACAACACATTGCGTACAATTAAAAACGTTTTCAATTGCTTGAGAGACTGGTGTAGGGAGACGGCCTTCAAAGTGGCATCGGTTGCGATCCGACCAAATGAAATGCAGTGTCACTGCGCACATGACACCCCATATGTCATACACAACACACTTTCGCACTGACCATTCCGGACGAACAGGAGGCAT